AATTTATTATTTGTTTAATACTACAAGCCCAATAAGAGCTTACTGGGGATGCTCGTATGAGTGACAAAGAAGTGCTCTTCTTTCTCAGTTTAGCAATGTAAAAATATTGAAAGAGAAAAGTGATATAGAGAAATAATTTTTTTTTTTTACATAGCTAAACTGAAATGAAAAATATAATATTCTATAGTGGAGACAAGAGAGAAGATATAAACAAATGATAATTAATAAAAAGAGCGTGTGAGGTTAGCGAATTCGTTCTTTTTAATTTTTTTTTTTATATAGCTAAATTGAGATAAGAAACACGACGTTCTATAGTGGATAAATGAAAGAAGATATAAAGAGATGATAATTAATAAAAAAAAAATGAGTAAAAAGAAATATTTATTTTTTTACATAGCTAAACTAAGATGGAAAATACGATGTTCTATAGTAGTGGAGGAGACAAGAGAAAAGATATAAAGAGATGATAATTAATAAAAGTCGATAAGGCGAAAGAGCGCGTGGGATGAGTGAATCCTTGGTATCATGAATTATTCCTTTTTTATTTTGTTACATAGCTAAACTGAGATGGAAAACACGACATTCTATAGTAGTGACAAGAGAGAAAATATAAAAAAAGACGTTAATTAATAAAAGTCTTGTGGGGGTGAACGAATCTTTTAGGCATCATGAATTTCTCCCTTCTCAATTTTTTTTAACATAGCTAAAACGAGATGAAAAACACGACATTCTATAGTGGAGACAAGAGAGAAGATATAAACATATGATAATAAATAAAAATTGTTAAAGAAAATTTAAGTAGGTTAGAAGAGAAAAACATAGAGAGAGTGGATCTAAACAATCATAAAAAAGACTAAAATTCAAGAGAATGGGACTTGTTCACCAGATAAATGGGCTATGAGTAAGGTTTTGTTAGCCATGCTCTACGTCCTTAGTTAGGTTGGGTCTGGACTTCCGACTCGATACGATGCACTCGAGTGCTTTTCATCTTCTTTTCTCATTTTTTTGCACCACTTGGCCAACCATATGACTCTGCTATGTTGTGTTTGCTCCTTCAGACTGTTGGCAGCATGTGACACAAGGAATTGGACGCCAAAGTGCTCCCTCAGAATCAATTCCTTTAAGCTTTAATCGTTCTCTAAGTACAAACATTAACATGGAGGATAATTTAATTTAGCGCTCTTTAGAAGATATTTCATACGTATATAGGACATATGAAAAATGTTTAGAGTCACCATGGAAAGTAGTTATAGGACATATTTTTTCATCCACATATATTAATTCAAATCACTTTCTACTTTCGAGACACAATTTTTACACATATTCAATCTCATCTAAAATATAATATTTCCAATTTTTGATTCTCATTCTTTCAAATAATTACATGATCTCATTTTTTGATTTCTATATCGAATGATATTAAAACAACACCACATCGATATTTCAAACACTTTTGGTTATGTATAAATTGTATGTCTAATTACTTTTTTGAATTCGATTTTTTTTTGTTTACCGGCCAAATTCATTTATATTACCAAATCAGTATCATTGTTTACATAACGTTGAAGAAAAAGCGGAGAACATTGAAATATACTCATGGTAATGAAGAAATGATTGAAGTCTTCGCTAAAAGATCAACACATTCATTCGCAGTGCGTTTGCGATAAATGAACGTGATGTATAAAAGTTTGCCTTCCAATTGGTGATGGCAGTAATGTGATATTGGAGCTTCAAATTCATGATATTGTTGTTGATGACACGGTTAATAATGAGATTTATTATGAAGAAGTATACAAAAGGAAAATCGATTAGAAACAACCAAAAAATGTGTTTTGCCTTTTTGCTAAAAATGTAGATATTACAAAAAATAAATATGCTTCTCTCTATATAAATCTCTCCTCCTAAACCCTAAATCCTAACATTCGTCGAGAATGTGTAACTCTAATGTTAACCCTAAAGTTTTCTTGGATATCACCGTCGACGGTGAACCGGCTGGTCGGATCGTGATTGAGATTTTCGCCGACACGGCTCCACGTACGGCGGAGAATTTTTGATGCCTTTGCACTGGGGAGAAAGGAGTCAGGAAACGGTGTGGCTTTCCACTCCACTTCAAAGGAATAACCTTCAACGGATTTTACTATCCATGGAGGGCTTAACACCGGTCATGAAGGGTTCGAATCGATTCGATCTACGGTGAGTCGTTCAAAGACAAAAAATTCAACAGGTGCCATGACCGTCCTGGTATTGTCTCCATGTGTAATGCTGGTCGACATACCAATGAAACTTATTTCTTCATATGCTTGGACGAGATTTCGTGGGCAGGTGACCATTACGTCATGGTCGGCCAAGTTGTGACTTGAAGTGACCAGGTTGATTAGAAAGTTCGGAGATGAAAACGGAAAGCCCTATAAGCATGTGGTCATCGAAGATTGTGGTCATATTTCGCAATAATTGTAGTTTGTGTAATTTATGGGTTTTTATGTTT